CATTTAAATAATGTAAATCATAAATAACATGAAAGTGAGCAGAAAGAAGAAAAAAATCTTATATCTGCTCCTTTTTCCAAACAATAAATACCAAAAATAATCTTTAAATAACAAAAACAACATTAAATCCTTCTCAAGAAACAAATAACACACATTATACTGTAGACTAATATTTCATATTTCTTCAACTGAACAACTTTTATCATTCTCTTAAACATACATTGATCTGGCATCGTTACATCACTCTCCAGATTATTCCATAATCTTTTTCCTTAGGTTGAAAGTTGTGTTTTTTTTTTTTTTTTTCCATCTGCAAAGTTGCCCTAATAGGCCGTCGAAGTAATAGCACTTCACTTCAAGGCGGTAATTTTGATGTAACTGTTGTGGGGGTACATGCTACAGTTCGAGCCACATTCAGAGTGATGGAAGTAGAATAAAGAAATGCATAATAATAAAGAGACCAGTTTAGAAGTGTAGAGTAATGGTTTACCTATTGGGCAAGCCCAATAAAAAACACACAATACTATCCTATTTTCTCCTTACAGAAAACGTGGCTCTGCGTGGCAAAGCAACTCAGTCTCAACTCTACAGAGCAGAATGGAGTGCTTTTGCAATTGCCTCCAATGCTATCGATGGAAACAGAGATTCTACCTTTTTCGATGGATCCTGCACCCACACCCAAACTATGCTCAACCCCTGGTGGAGAGTGGATCTACTAGACCGTTATGTAATTGACCACGTCGTCATCACTAACAGAGGAGACTGTTGTGAAGAGAGGATCAGCGGGGCACAGATTCGCATTGGTGACTCTTTAAAGGACAATGGGATTGCAAACACACTGTGAGTTTGATTTTTCTCAACATAAGAKGATCACAGTCTGAATCTGTGCCAAGATGTTAGGCAATATGTACTGGTTTGAGGAATGCTAAGACTTTTTCAATTTTCTTGACACTCCCTCCTGGAAATGAGACGTGTTGAACAGATTTTATTTTAAATTTTACCAGCAATAAAAACAGATAATTATGTCAAGTATACTTGTTTTGTTGTTGTTCACTACTTTAAAAATCTTAAATAAAACCATTCTCTCATTTTAGGGTTGCAACAATTTCTTCAATCCCAGCTGGTGGATCTCAGACTATAGAATTTTCTCCTGCAGTGGAGGGGCGTTATGTGGTTGTTGTAAATCCAGGTTCAAACAAAATTCTAACACTCTGTGAAGTGGAGGTCTATGGTTACCTTGCCCCAACTGGTGAGTCCTGATTTTATTAATTCCAATTTCTTCTGGAATGGTTTGTAGTGGTAGTAAAGTGTTGTGTCGTTTGGAGCTGTGGACAGCTTCACAGTCTTGAGTCATCAGAGTAAACAGCAGTGGACTGAGCACACAGCCCTGAGGGGCTCCAATCTTCAGTGTGATGAAGACAGAGGTGTTCTCGCCCATCCTAACAGACTGGGGTCCCACATAACATTCTATAACTTGTTTAAGCTTCCGTTATTGTATGAGGGCTTTTTTTTGTTTGTTTTTACTTCTTGTATCCATTGCTGAGTAGCTGGAAAGATTTTTCTTATGTATACTGCATTGATACCAAAACTCATTTCTGACTGAGATGCACATTCTGAGATACTTTTGCTTAGGTTGTTMCAAAGCTTTAGCAGTAGTAAATTGGGAAATTTTCAGGAAAACTACAGAACAAGCAAAATATTATTAAGGGTGCAATGCTTTTGTGTTGGCTGTCCTAATCGTCTGTTAATACTGCATTACTGGAATGAACAGAACATGAAAATAGTTTGTATTTCAGTGTTTTAACATATAAAAATCAGAGCCGTCATTGTGTTGCTGCTATTCATATCAAACCTGACACAAAATAATTTCTTTCTCTGACAGGTGAGCAGTGATCTCAAGCATCGCTCCTCCAGGTTTTGCTGAAGAATTTCAGTGTGAAATATCATCACACTGAAGGTAATTTGGTGACTTAAATAAAAAATCAACTAAACAGTGTGAGAGTGTTGCCCTTTATTTATTCTGTTRTTCTTCTGTTAAGCACAAGGCCTGGCTTTAGAAATAACTGTGCAAAGAAACAAAAAGACAGTTCACTCTCCCATTTGAACAAGAGTTAAAATCTTTGTACAAAAAACACTAGTTGACTTGTTTTCTTACGCAATTATAAGCAACGTACAGTGGTTTGCAAAAGTATTCATACCCCTTGAACTTTTCCATATTTTGTCACATTACAACCACAAATATATTTCACTGGAATTTAATGTGAAAGNTATCAAATACAGTTGCAGATACAGCTATATTTTAATTTGCACTTTCTAAAAAATTTTGTGTAGTTTTTTTAAAACATTTTATCAAAAAGCTGTTGTTACTGTTATTGTTTGTAACTAATATGTAAAGCAGCTTCTGGTTCTACCATGCAAAAGTTTAAAAAGGCTTTATTTTCATTTGCTCTTTAACAATTTTATTTTTACAGTTTTTTATATTTGGAACATTTACATTAAATATTTTTGAATGTATTTATTTTATGATCACAATTTTATTTATTGAATTGTCTATTTTTGTTGTTTATGTTAAAAAATATTTTTGTGCTGATAAGCCTCAGTGGTCTGTTGATTGACTGCTGTATTTGTTCAAATAAGTTATGGGCAGGTTACAATATAAAAATGTCATAATCCTGTCTTGTGGTTATTTGACAGGAGTTTTACTTATAAACTGTAAGTGTATTTTATTTAGGTATAATGCAAATACAGTACAGATTAAACCAAGATTTAGAATAATTATCATTTTGATCTGTATGGTAATATCTAACTGGGCCTCGTGCCACTTTATGTTCAACAAATTGGGCCCCGAGGTCAAAAAGTTTAAGAACCCCTGGTTTAGAGAACCTTTTCATGATATGCTAATTTTCTGAAATGTGGATTTTTGGTTTTTCTTTACTTTTTTGCCAAAATCATCAATATTAAAACAATAAAAGGCTTGAACTACTTCAGTTGGTGTGCAATGAATCTAAAACATATGAAAGTTTAATGTGTATCAGTACATTACAGAAAACAATGAACTTTGTCACAATATGCTAATTTTTTGAGAAGAACCTGTATGTGTGTAGGTGCAGCCCAGCCAGTACCAAATTGACATGGCAGCAAATAAAGATTAAATCTAAAACATAGTAAAATCAGGAATAAGCTCCACATGTTCAACTTTTAACAACTGAATCACATAATTAGCTAACTAAATTTAACACATGAACTTATTGTTAGTAAATATTTCATGTTCAGTGTTATTTACCATTGCCTGTAGATGTTTGATGGGTAACTGTCAACTCAACCAGAGCCTGGCAGCTAAAACTTCAGATTTTGTTAGTAAAGGTTTTAAAGAACTAAAGTCAGTCCCCGGGTACTGCTGTACTGTGGCTGTTATTAGATGTTTTTAGCCATGTTGGATCTGCTCTGAAATATTAAGAGATTATTTAAATATTATACAAGTTATTTAAACATTATAAAAGTATAATTCAAATTGGTCTTCTGTTCTGAACTTGACTTTCTGACCTTTTGTTAAGTAGAAAAAGAGGAAGTTACGAAGAAGCTTGCTCTGTTCAGAAGTTAACCTTTGGGAAAGAGGAAACTTCCTACGTCTTAGCTGTTGAAACAATGAAAAGTGTGTAAGACTTGGCCTCAATTTGGAGTTGTTTTGTTCAGCTGCATACACGCTCGGGAGATACAAACCCCACACCCTAATTACACAATATTGAGTCACACACGACTAATACAGCTGTTTTGCTTGCGGATTGTTTGTGTGAGATCAAAGTTTTGTAAAAACAAAATTGGTCATATGCAGGTTTGAAATATCTCACTTCATCACTATAATGAAAGGAGTTCTGCAGAGTGAAGTTCAATAAATAAAATATTTAATACACGTATGTATGATGTGTTTATCATTTTAGTTTTCCCTAGATTTGGTTCAGTTGTGTATTTCCATGCTTACTATTGGAACTTTAAATGTGTGAGACTGTTGCTTATATTTCACCCTACAATTCTGTGCCTTTGTTACAATATGTGCCCTTTTTATTTTTGAGCGCCTGCCCCTTTAGTGGTCTCCGCATGGCCCTGATCCTACCTCAGTTCTTTCACCAAAGTTAGACCTTACAGCGGGTAAAATAAGTATTGAACACGTCACCATTTTTCTCAGTAAATATATTACTAGAGGTGCTAATGACATGAAATTTTCACCAGATGTCKGTAAYAACCYAAGTGATCCATACATACAAAGAAATCAAACCATAAATGTCCAGAAATGAAGTTATTTGTAATAATGTGGAATGGCAAATGGAAAAAGTATTGAACACACTTACTGAAATTTATCTAATACTTTGTACAAAAGCCTTTGTTGTCAATGACAGCTTCAAGACGCCTCCTGTATGGAGAAACTAGTGGCATGCATTGCTCAGGTGTGATTTTGGCCCATTCTTCCACACAAACAGTCTTCAAATCTTGAAGGTTTCGTGGACCTCTTCTATGAACTCTGATCTTTAGTTCTTTCCATAGATTTTCTGTTGGATTCAGGTCAGGTGATTGGCTGGGCCATTCCAGCAGCTTTAGTTTCTTTCTCTGAAACCAACTGAGAGTTTCCTTGGCTTTGTGTTTGGGCTCATTGTCTTGCTGAAATGTCCAGCCACGTTTCATCTTCATCATCCTGGTAGATGGAAGCAGATTTTTATCAAGAATGTCTCTGTACATTTTTCCACTCATCCTTCCTTCAATTATTTGAAGTTTGCCAGTACCATATGCTGAAAAACAGCCCCACACCATGATGTTCCCACCTCCTAACTTCACTGTTGGTATGGTGTTTTTGGGCTGATGTGCAGTGCCATTTGACCTCCAAATATGATGTGTATTCTGGCATCCAAACAGTTCAATGTTGGTCTCATCTGACCAGACTATATTCTCCCAGTATTACACAGGCTTGTCTAAATGTTGTGCAGCAAACTTTAAAGGAGCTTCAACATGCTGTTTCTTCAGCAGTGGAGTCTTGCGTGGTGAGCGTGCATACAGGCCATGGTGGTTCAGTGCATTACTTATTGTTTTCTTTGAAACAAACGTACCTGCTRATTCCAGGTCTTTCTGAAGCTCTCCACAAGTGGTCCTTGGCTCTTGGACAACTCTTCTGATAATTCTTTTCACTCCTCTGTCAGAAATCTTGTGAGGAGCACCTGGTCGTGGTCGGTTTATGGTGAAATAATGTTCTTTCCACTTCTGAATTATGGCCCCAACAGTGCTCACTGGAACCTCCAGAAGTTTAGACATTCTTCTGTAACCGATGCCATCATTATGCTTTGCAACAATAAGGTTGTGAAGGTCTTGAGAGAGCTCTTTACTTTTACCCATCATCAGATGGTTCTTGTGTGATACCTGGCCATCATTTGGGACTGAACCAGCTGATATTAACTTGCACTGACAAGGGGCAGGCTTGCTTTCTAATTACTGAGAGAGTTCAGCTGGTGTCTTGGCTTTCCATGCCTTTTTACACCTCCCTTTCTTCATGTGTTCAACACTTTTCCCCTGTGCCATTCCACATTATTACAAATAACTTCATTTCTGGACATTTATGGTTTGATTTCTTTGTATGTATGGATCACTTGGGTTGTTACCAACATCTGGTGAAAATTTCATGTCATTAGCACCTCTAGTAATATATTTACTGAGAAAAATGGTGATGTGTTCAATACTTATTTTACCCGCTGTATGTCCTTTCTTAACAAGATTGTTTTTCTGAAGTTAGATGCATCTTCTGTAACTTGAACCATAAGTGTAATGAACAATGATGAACATACTTAAACTATCAGAACATTTGCAAGGAGAATAAATTAAATGAACTCAATGACCAGTCATGATTTTGGGCTCAAGGACATTTAAACAGACTCTAATTAGAAAAACTTCAAGATGGATCCAGCTTCGGTTGCTGCACAGTAAAATTTTGCAGATCAGAAAAAATAAAATATAAACATAACTGAAAATCATATCAAACATTTAAAGGCCAACTGCAAAAAGTAATGTTTACTCTAAGAGTACATTAAATCTTGGTAAACATTTCCCAACAGGTCTTGTGATGACATTTATGAATCAAGAGGCGTAGACAGCACAGCGTGATATGATTGGATAATTATGTCATTAAAAAGCCAGGTTCCAGACATTGTTCAGGAAAATTTGAGATTTTGGGTAAGCATCTTAATTTTCAATTTTACTCAGTTTAACTTTTCATCATCTCATTGGTCTTAAACTATTAAATTAGTCTTTGCTTTTTAAAATAAGGTCATCTTTTCCTGCTTCAACATGCACTGAAAATACTTCTAATACTTGTTTGTTAATGTTTGTTTTGTCAGTTTTAACCAGAAAAATGAAACACTCAATATTCCTTCATTTGCTGCTCTTTTTTGCCAGCGTACTCAGCTCTCAGTTACCGTAAGTATACTGCAAAAACATGTGTACTTTTGTGARAAGTAGAAACCTTTTATAGTAAAAAACATTTACTACAGCTTCTTCATAAAATAGTTAAAATTTTAGTTTTTGCTATTATTAGAAATCATTGGGAGAAAATGAATGGATGTTTGGGAAATTTGAATTTTMTAGCTTTGTGGACTAAAAGTACCATAATAAACCTTCTGTTTAAAATGTGGCTTTTACACAGACCACTAGAGGGACACACTTACCACAGCTGTTTTAMATACACTGTGGTTTGAAAGTTGAAGAACCATGATTATAAGTACTGAAACACAATCGATTGGTACTTTGGGGGAATAATATTCCTGCATCAATATAGTGCCTATGATTATTGTTAAGCACGTACATGTTTTCACAGCTCATGGATGTTAGGTTATTTAGCTGAAATTGCTTGTGGTCATTAAAAGCAGCATTGGTATCTGTTTGTGTTAGAACATAAATGTAAATAGTATTTTTCACAAAGTGTGAGGCTGACACTGAGCAAATCGGTGTCGTTATTTTGCTTCCTTGAGTTCAAAGATTTGATTGTGGAAAAACCTTGATTATACTGTACTAGCAATTGTATATACGATAAAATAACAGCAGTTGAGACAGAGTACTACCAAAAACATTTCAATGAAATTACAATAGGATAACTTGCACATATGAATTTTGTGCAATGACAAAATGAATAAAATAAAATAATACAATCCTATTTTCTCCTTACAGAAAACGTGGCTCTGCRTGGCAAAGCCACTCAGTCTCACCTCTACAGCGGAGAATGGAGTGCTTTCTCCATTGCCTCCAATGCTATCGATGGAAACAGAGATCCTRTCTTTGCCCATGGATCCTGCACCCACACTGAAACACAGCTCAACCCCTGGTGGAGAGTGGATCTACTAGACCGTTATTTAATCGACCGCATCGTCATCACCAACWGAGGAGACTGTTGTGATGAGAGGATCAGTGGGGCACAGATTCACATTGGCGACTCCTTAAAAGACAACGGCACTGCAAACAAACTGTAAGTTTGATTTTTCTAAACATAAGATGATCTCAATCTGAGACTGTGCCATGAAATTACTTTAAAAGTGGTTAATAAAATTATTCTTTTATTTTAGGGCTGCAACAATTTCTTCAATTCCAGCCGGTGGCTCTCAGACCATACATTTTTTCTGGACAGTGGAGGGGCGTTATGTGGTTGYTGTAAATCCAGGTTCAAACAAAATTCTAACACTCTGTGAAGTGGAGGTCTATGGTTACCTTGCCCCAACTGGTGAGTCCTGACTTTGATTTAATCAATTCCAGCGTATCCTGTTGGTATGTGGTGAAAAAATAAAATAATAAAAAAATAACTTTTCAATCACATCAGGGCCTGTAAGTGCAAAAAAAATCCCATCTAAAAGCGGAGTCTAAAAGTCAGTTGGACTGAACGCTGCACTCAGACCCCTAGTGGTCCTCTGGAGAGGTCTAAACTTTGCAGGAGAACAAGAGTGATTCTTGGACTTAGAATTTTGATAACTTGCTTTTATACTTACCGTAAGAAAAATGGTAGGAGTAAATCTTAGAAATTTTCTGCACTTTCGTCTAAAATTCCACTCTAAAAAGTTTAATACGGGCCCAGATGGAGAGACTTCACCCTGAACAAAGTCTCTGCAGAGGGAGAAAGAACACATATCCAAGGTGCTGCATTTCAACTGTAATCATCAAGCCAAGTCAAATATTTGTCATTTCACAATATCTGGTACACAATGAGACAAAACAACAATCTCCTGGGACCATGGTGCTATAAACAGAGGACAGAACATGACATCATAACTAATCATACAGCTGAACATAAACAGAAATTAAAATAAACTTAGGAAGAAGCTTAAACTAAAACAAAAGCTAACTAAGCGGTGTTTGCTGAAGATGTGCTGGACAGAGGAGATAGAGACCAGGATGATCTCTTCTTCACAACGGGCTGTAAGGACATTTAATCTGAGGCAGTGCAGGATCAGTACCGGGAAGTGATGCAGCTGCTGAGGATCCTCTATAGTTCTGTAGGACAGTGAAAATGGGTGGCGGGTGTTGGTACTCTTCTCAATCTCTGCAGGAAGTTGAGACATAGTTGGGCCTTTTTAGTAATGGAGCCGGTGTTGAGAGATCATGTGAGGTTCTCTGCGATGTGAACACCAAGTAAATTGGTAATCTCCACCAACGAGCTGTAGATAGTCACAGTGATCACAATGTTGCCTCACAAAGTCAACAACMATCTCTTTTGTTTTGTCAACATTCAGTGATGAATTGTTGGTTCTGCACCAGTCTGTTAGACGTTGTATCTCCTCTCTGTATGCTGTCTCATCTTTACCACTGATCAGACCCACTACGGTTGTATCATCAGCAAAGGTGATGATGTGGTTGGAGCYGTGGACCGCTGCACAGTCGTGGGACATCAGATTAAACAGCAGTGGGCTGAGCACACAGCCCTGAGGGACTCCTGTGTTCAGTATGATGGAGCTGGAGGTGTTCTTACCCATTCTAACTGACTGGAGTCTCCCCAAAACATCCCAGAACTCATTTAAACTTATTGTTTCTACTATACTGTATATGAGAGATACAGTATTTTTTATTCACCTGTATCACCAAAATTCAGAGTTTTCAGTTTTTGCCAAATTCGGACAGAGATGCACATTCTGAGATATTTTCACTCAAGCTTTTCTGAAGCTTCAGGAATAGTAAACTGTGATTTTTTTATTTTATTTTTGTAGGAAAACTAAAGAATAACAATTAAATAACATTAAGGATGCTTCAATGCTTTTGTGTTGGCTGTCCTAATAATCTGTTAGTACTGCATTACTGGAATGAACAGAACATGAAAAATAGTTTGTATTTCAGTGTTTTAACATACAAAAATCTGAGCCCTCATTGTGTTGCTGCTATTCATACCAAACCTGACACAAAGTAATTTCTTTCTCTGACAGGTGAGCATCGCTCCTCCAGGTTGTACTGAAGAATTTCAGTGTGAAATATCGTCACACTGAGGGTAATTTGATGACTTAAATAAAAAAAAATCAACCAAACCGTGTGTGAGTGTCTGTTTCTTTTTTTATTCTGTTATTCTTCTGCTAAGCACAAGGCCTGGTTTAAGAAATAAATGTGCAAAGAAATAAGACAGTCCACTTTCTCGTTTGACCAATAGTTAAAATCTTTGTACAAAAACATTTATAGTTGACTTGTTTTCTTACGCAATTATATAAAAAAATACATAAATTGTACGTTTACATGTTTACTGTCCAAAAAAATTATATTTTCAGTGGCATCTGTAAATTTTAAAAATGAACACTAGAACAAGGCAGTTTTTGCTCCACTATAACAAATTCAATTTGACTCATTTTAAAGCTATAACTTTAAAGTCAAACTAAAATTCAAGTTATTTTGAGTCTAAGCTGACATAAATGTCTGGAAACATGTGCAACATGAAAACGCTTGTTAATTTTGATAACAAATTATAAGACATTTAACCATAATTTATCATTTGAATCTGTTGAATGAGGCTGATAACACTTGGACAAAACAACAACTTTCACTGCTACAAACAGTTTGGACTGGCTTTTACAGAAATCACAAATTTATGCTTCAAACAAAACCAAACAAAAATAAAAATAAAAAGACAACAYCTCATTAATGTGCTCAAATATCCTGAAAATGCAGCTTTATAACAAGACTTCCTTTGGCAACAAACAAAACAAATCAAGAAGCACAATAAAAACCTTTTAAAGGCTGAAKGTCAGTATTTTACAAAACAAGTTTATAAAAGAGTTGTAAGAGGGCAGTTTGAGGAAATATTTACATTTGTTAACTATATCTGACTATAAAAGACTTCCACATAACAAAAGAACTAAGAAGAGACTTCTTGTGTCAAAGTAAGCTTAAAATCTTCTTGACTAAATTCAGTCGAGACACCAACACTGTATGATATGTATCAGATTTAAAAGTCTCCAAACACAAAGACTAAGACATCCTAAAATCTTGAAGTTGCACAAAAATGACACAAATAAATTATAAAAAAATATTGTACTACTGAAAAATCCTCTCAGAGCTCAACACTGCATAACAATAGAGGAAATTAACTTCTGTCAAGCTTGTAAAGGTATTGCTTCACAGTATGTGGACATCACTCACAAACTTCACTTCTGAAGGGACAAGAATTAAAAACAGCAAACTGTAAACTTATAAAGGTGTTTTGGTAACAGAACCAATGAAACAAGCTACAGTAAACCAAGCGATATGGCACCTTTTGGTTTTCTCTTGGACACCAGCAGGAGAATAATTACAACACTGTCTGGATGCAAAAATAACGACCAGTAAGCAACAAATCCGGAGCTGTGAAGTCAGAGCCTCGGTTTACTAATGGCATATCCTGTTTGCCATGTTTACCTACATTTATCCACTTGATGAATTGTTGAGTTTTCAGAAATAAGCAGAATAGAAGTGTGTGACCACTAAAACAAATACACAACAAGAAATGTTGGCTAAAACAAATTTGATGGCATTCGATCAGTCCAACAATGTTATCTAAGATCTTTGGAGGTTTTGGGAACTTTGAGAACTTTGTAAATGTCATTGGAAAAGACTGTGGTGAAGTATGGTCGTGAGTTCCTGGACATGTGGGTGCAGAAGGGAATTTTACCAACATTTTCAGGGTCCTCAATGTCCCAAATCTCTGGCATGCTGCACCCAGGCCTGAAAAGCAGAGAGGAAGGAGAATGCAACATTAAAAGAAAACATCTCTGCATTCTGCCTCATTGTGATTAGACATAAGTGACGGTGAGGTTACCTGGTTCGCCTGGTGCACCAAGAATCCTCCAGGATAAAGAAGTCCACCCCTAACTTCATCAGGTTCCTCTTCACTGTTTCTCCAGACATGCGGCTGTACATCGAGTAGACCAGCTTGGTTCTCTCTCTGTGAAGAATAACAGAAACTGAATTACTGCTCCCCTGATCTACCATCACTATGTAATCATCTCTACTTATTCTAATGGTTCTAACTTAGTCACTACGCCTGTTAACTCCTGGTCCTACTCCTGCTTTCCTTATGGTTTGTTTAGTTTTCAAGGACATGTTCCTGTAATTTGTGTTGTATTTTTGCTGCAATATCAGCTTTTTAATTAGGGTTAAAGGAGACGTATCAAGCTCCTTTTTCACATTTAAATCCATTCGTTAGCATCGGAGAGGATAGCAACTAGCATGCCTAGGCTGCTCACCTACTTTATTAGACACAAAACTTTTTTAAATAGAGAATCTTCTCTATAAACTAAACTTTCTCTAAAAAGTCCCAACTTGATCGTTCTGGCTTTTCTCATAAAGAGAAAGAGAAAAAACACCACAGTCGACTACAAGGGCAAACGCAGCCGCTAATTCAGGTGGTAACTAAAGCTGTCTGCTTCACAGTAAAATGTTTTTTTGTTTAATATTTAAGCTTGGCGTCATGTTGAACAGTAAATTCTGTGTAAGGAACACCTGTCAGTGCATGGAGCTTAAAAAGTTTGTGTCTAATGAAATAGGTGGGCAGCCTAGGCATGCTAGTTGCTAGCCTCTCCAATGCTAACCCCAGCTTATCCATGCTAGTCACTAGCCTCTCCAGTGCTAATGCCAGCTTATCCATGCAAGTCGCTAGCCTCTCCAATGCTAATGCCAGCTTATCCATGCTAGTCGCTAGCCTCTCCAATGCTAATGCCAGCTTATCCATGGTAGTCACTAGCCTCTCCAATGCTAACCCCAGCTTATGTTTGCTAGTCACTAGCCTCTCCAATGCTAACCCCAGCTTATGTATGCTAGTCACTAGCCTCTCCAATGCTAACCCCAGCTTATGTATGCTAGTCACTAGCCGCTCCAATGCTAACCCCAGCTTATGTATGCTAGTCGCCAGCCTCTCCAATGCTAACGCCAGCTTATCCGTGCTAGTTGCTAGCCTCCCCGATGCTAACGCAAATGAATAGTCTCCTTCTCTTTTGCTAGCGCTGGCCTCTCCGTTACCTTAGGAGTACATATAAATAAAGCCTCCTGCTACAAGGATGTAGCAACCGCTGGTTGCATAATATTCTTTATATTCTTAATGCTGTATTTCGGCCCTCATACCGCGCTATACATCTGTGCATCGTGTGAAAAGACTATAACAGATCAATTAACCTGAGACCAGCATCCTCGTAGTGGGGGTGGTTGACGATTGGTCGACCAGTAGAAAGCTTCACGCTGGCCATGGTGGGCATGGCTCCTGCAAAAACAGAGTCTGCACCAATCCCACCCAAAACAAAAATCAGAAGATGGAATGAGATTGTTGAGTAGATTTATGAACATTGCAAGTTTTCAGACTATAAACATTTGTTAAGTACAAACAACATAAAGTAAAACACAAATAATCACAAACTATTGAAAATATTTTAACAGTAGAAAAAAAAGCCTCAAAATATTTGTTTTTCTGACCATCCAAATACAATAAATCCATAATAAAAGTTCTTGTTATTGAAGGCACTCACCTGTACGAGTGTTCTCCTGGATCCAGTCCAGCAGCTCCTCCTGTGGCAGGTTGCTGAACTCACCGATGATTGCCCACTGCGCCTGCAGGTTGGCCACCCCCTGTACGGCCATCATGGCCAAGACTACAACAACTACGGCCTGGTGCTTGACCTTCTCGCCGATCCACCCAAACAACTGACAAGAACATGGAGGGAGAACGTTCCATCACTTTAATACACAATGTCTGTGCATGCAAACCAGGAGGAGAAAAAGGAAAATAATTATTCAAACAAACAGATTTAGTTGAGCTGTGATGAGAGACAGACCTGTCGGGAGCAGATCAGTGAYGCGATGATGCACATGTGGGGCGTTAAGAAGAGCTTCAGGCGCATGATCAGGATGGCCAGCAGGGCAAAGGCAATGAGCTGTAAGCTGTGGTAAACCAGCTGCAGAGGAACAAATTCAAAGAGAGAAAACTGTGGTTAAACGGACATTCCCTATTTTATAGCATTTAATCAATAATTTACTATGGCTTTATGTGGAAAAAGTTCAACATTTGATTTGTAACACTGTTTAAGTTTCTGATAGCTCAGTCATGCTGACATGAAAACATGCTTCTGATCACTTTAAGGCCACTTAATTTGAAGCAAGATTGCTTTTAATTAAATATAAAATAATCAAAATTATTAGCTTTTTATTATGACTTCTAAAAGATGCTTAATTCTACAGATGCAGGTCTACTTTTCAATTTAAAGTGTCTGTGACATGCTTATCCTTCAGATGCAAAACGTCAAAGAAAACTTTGTTCTATTTAAGAAACTTGGCATAACACACATTATTTTGCACATTTGGACACATAACTGGCCTATTTTCTTTTGAACTTGGCTCGGCAAAAGGGAAACAGGAAGTGACGTCAAAGGGGAAAAAACTCACTGGTTTTTGTTTATTGAAACATTACGATTTGAACTCTGACTCTTTTTTGTTTCTGTCTGAGAAGTCTAAAACCTAACATGTTTAGAAAAAATGGGACATAGTAGAAAAGACCAAAAAAGATCAATCTGAATAGAATGAAGAGATGATTCTTATATGAGCAGATTTAAACATAAAGGATGTGAAACTCATTCTCACCTCTCCTTTCGCAGCTATTTCAGAGCTGCAACACAGGCAGACAAAGAGACATCATCTCATTTGCCCTCAAGATACAGTCATTTATTAGAAAGACAAAAATATTATTCAAAGAACTACTTTCTTTTAAAATATATCCTACATATTGTTTTTACTTGACTGAAAAAAAAAAAACAATAATAAAACTAAAAAAAGGTGAGTGAGGAAGCCTCACCCTRCAGCTTCATCCTCATCTTCAGTCTTTACAGATGTTTTTGCTCCTTGTCTCAGATACCGGAGGATATCCTGAACGGTCTGAAGGAGACAGATAACATAAAATGCACCAAACGTTTTTTTTTTAAATGCCATGGTTCCAGCATCGAATAACATATTTCTGTGTAAGAAAATCTCCCCGACAGCCTGCTRATGTACTGCCTACTGAGCTCTTCCAAATCAATTTATGCATTCTGAGCTTAGCGTGCGGAAGGCATAATGAGATTAAACTATATAAAGCATTTCCTTAAATATTTTTCTTTCCTCAAAATGCTTTGTTGTACAGAAGTCGGGCAGAATGCTTTTCTAGCTTCTCCTAATAGTTTAGAGAAACAAATTTAGCCCCTCCTGAGCAGAGCAAACAAAGCTCATGCAAATTTAATTGAGCTAAAAACAGCACGGGGTTCTTTTCCCCGGTAGCTCAGAGAGAAGAAAACCTAAAAAGATTTGATTATCAGCTTCGTCTGGTTGCTGCAGAAAAACATTCAATACCCAGAAATGATTTTATCTTATGTTTGACAGCTTGTTGTATGAGAAGGTTTATCCCAACACCTTCTGACCGCCTCTGGACTTCTTTTTCTGTCCTCACAAAATAAGCTATAGAATAAAATGATATACTTCTATACTTTGAAACSTGAAGATTTAAGACTTTAACACTGTAAGTGTGAATTTCAGGTCATTTCTAGATTTCTGCAGAGCGTGCAGCACATCTTACATAATAGATCTCTACTTGTGTGTAGCTCTGCAGTTAGAGCCTCCTCCACCCACTAACAAGTCCTCGTTGGCAGCAAGAATTTAGGCTTTTGYTACCAACAACAGAGATTCAAGACACAGATCTTAAAACAAATTTGTTATGCAATTTTGTGAGTATTACAACGTAAAAATGACTAAATGTTGCACATGTAAAGACCCATTTATTAAATTTGGGTCAACACCAGTGACAAGTGGAAAAAGCGATAAGTTTAAAAGCTGAACAGGCTGCAGTCACTCACTTGTTTTAATCACTTTAAAGACCACTTCATGATCAAACTGCAAGTGTTCCTACTTTATTGTAAGMCCTGGTAAATATAATTATATAGGTCGACAAGAACAAAAGACAGCTAGAGCTTTAAAAGTGCCAATTTGTCCAGACACTCACAGCGAAAACATTAATCAATGTCTTTTTTTTCTACAATAAGACTGCACAACTTTTTCCACATTTTGCACGCAAACGGACTCACCCTGCCGGTAATAAGAGCAACCACCAGCAAATTGATGGGAAGTAGTAATGTTTTCAGGTAACGAACAGGTGTCTGAGGAAGAGACAAAGACACGAGATAATGATAGAAAAATGATAAAAACCTGACGTCTATTAAGAAAAATAAAAACATTTATTCCAACAGTGTTTCTTTCATAACTGATTCAGTTGATAAAAGTACAAATTTGATGCAAGTAACTGAAAAATAGATTGATTAAAAGCAAAAAGCTTTTGAAATAAGAAACAAGAATAA